GGGGGGGGGGGGGGGGGGAATAGGCCTCTCGGGGATGGAAACGATAATTCTGGTGGTGGAGCGTTGTTGGGGAATGAACGATTCAAACAGGATGCGAGAAGTGGGGCAAGAACCTTTGAGGAAGAGAGCGAAATATTTTAGATACAAAACCCCAGCTGCCGTGACGCGGCCGTACTCGCTTCTTGACCGATGCGTTGACTTTTTCGTGCACGCACTGCAGCAGGATGTGTTCATGGTTTTGGGTCCATACCCCTTGTAAGGCCTGGCGACACCGCCTGACCGAGATAAACCCTACTGCTTCATCGTGAGTCGCTCCCAAGCGGGGACGGAGAGAGAGATACCGGTCCGCATCATCTGCTCTGTTCGGTATCAGCTGTCAGATATGACGTGTATTTTGAACCGTGTTGTCTCTCCGCATTGACTACTTTTGGTTGGGCGAAATGTTGCATGTTCCCTCGAAGGCGTCAAAACAATAACACCAGCACAAGGAGAATCAACACGAAGCGGCGGGCATGCCACATGAACGTGATGTACGGCGTGATACGTACGAACATCAACTGCAGGATGTACGTGTGGCTCGACGGAGTTCAATGAGGGCATACGTGAGCACGTGAGCGAAAAAATGTTCCTACACACTCACGTAGCGAGGACGTCAATGTCAACAATCAAGTCCGTACACCCTTAGCGCCAATCCATTGCTTCTCACCTAGAGTCTGGGTGGTGTACAAAGTCTTGTGATGAGCGTACCCCTGCGTGCGTGTCCAGACTGACAACCGATGAGGCTCCGAGGCAGCACCCAAACTTGCAGCAACCAGAGGGGGGCCGCGTGACGAGAACAACAAATCAACGAAAGCAACCAGAACCTCTTGGAAACCCATGGCGATCTGCGCATCCCCCGCTCCAGCAAGACTTTTTTCTACATGCTCCAGCTGTCACAACCCAGCCCCCCTGCCCGACCGTGAGCGCGAGAGTCCCCTCGAAGGCATTGTGTCCATTCGTATTCGTGGTGAGAGCTCCTCTTGTGGACACAAGGAGCTCCGCGTTGCGCGAAATCGTGGCGCTTGAATCGTAGACGTCGTCTATATATTATAAACACCCTCTGCTGTTGCGGGTGGGTTCAAGCTACCAAGAGGAGAGACGCCGCTGACGCTGGCAAGGTTCGTGCGTGCCCACACGGAGGAGAGAAAAGGTAACATGCGTGTGCAACTGGTGACCACCGCGATGGTCTTGCGCCTGGCGACGCGCAGCTTTGGCTTCTCGCCGGCCTTGTCTGGCGGAATTGCAGCACGAGTGCCATCCCGACGTGCTGTTGCGCGATCACACGACCGACACACGCGACCATCGGCGGCAGCGTTCACCTCAGGGCCTTCGGCAGCAGCAGCAGCGCGACCAACGGGAAGCAGGCCGCCTACGACCGCCAGGAAGATGGTGCTTCGGCCCGACTGGGAGAGGGAAGGGAGGGTTTACGGCCTGAGGATGCCTAGGGAGAGGACTGCCGAGAGAGCCTTCGAGTACTTGGTGGACTACCCTTGCGAATTCGAAATCAAGGTCATCGGGATCAACGAGGGCAGCTTCGCGGATGACATCGCGGCCACCGTCTCCGCCGTTTGCGAGGTGAGTTGTGAATCATTCGTGCGTTTCGCAGTGGCGCCGACGAGCTGCAACCTAGCGGTGGATGGTCACGCATCTACAAGGCTTCTGTCGTGGTTGATCTACAAATGTCTCGTGTTTTTTCGTTTGGCGTCGTCAGAGAACCTGCAGGTGTGCTACCCCGGAATATTTTTGTTCCTGCTGAGTGCAACAGCAACGCACGTATATCGGCTACGGGGCCCCCTCGTACCATTTTCTCGCTCAAGAACACCGTAACCCTCTCTTACGTTTCAGGCCAGCAGTTGCGACATGACTTTCCTATGGAGTACAGTAGAATCTAGGGGTGCCGTGGGACGTGTCGTACCCCCCCCTCCGAAAGGGTACAGTAAGGTCCGTAACAGGTAACAGGCGGTTGACATCCAGATTTACGCACGTTGGCACGCGGTGCTCGCCTCATACAGACCTACGTACCTGTTTGCATTTCAAAGCCTTAGAGACTGTACGCTCCGCTGCAATGAGCTTCTCGGTACCAAGTTATGTAGGGTGCTCTGGTAAATAGGTCTGTGTCCGTCACGCGTGGTTGTATTGGGATTCTAGAAGGGGTTGTTGGAGCAAGCTCTTTGGATTTCCTGATGATCTCCAACTTGGAATTTCCAGTTGAACATGGTGTTGTCCGCGGTGTACTCTCCGCACACCTCACGATAGCTTCCCAAACTTGACGCCGAGAAGCTCACAGCAGCGGAGCATACAGCCTCGAACGTTTGATGGCTAACAAGTATTCGTGAGGCGAGCACCGAATGGCGTATGGGGTGGTGTATTTTTCCGACAGTTGTTTTGGGAGGACTTCTGTTGTCTCTGGGGAGTGCCTTGAAAATCTCACGGCATCTCCTCTGCCTCCGAACTGGAACCCCACGTGTGTTGCCCCATTTGCCTCGTAGAAAGCTTGGGGAATATATTGATAGCCTCGTTTGTACCGTCGCTCACCCACCATCATCACCGTTACTGCAATCTGTATCAGCAGCTTTTCACCTGACGAGCCCACCTTTCACCCCTTCCCCATGTTGCCCTGGCCGACGGAAAAACCGCATCGCAGGTGGAAACCTCCGATGTGCGGTTCACCGTTCGAGATACCACGAGTGGGCGCTACCAGAGCATCACAGTGCACGCGCCAGTAAAGAACGCGACCATGCTGTACAAGTGCTACGAGCTCATCGACGAGGTGAAGTGAAGCATTTTTTTTTTTTCGAGGTCCATGGATCTGTGATTTGAGGTGGTATTCCTCACGCCGAAAAAGCTTATTTTTCACAATCGGTCAAGAGTCTTCGTTGTTCAGGACAGCTCAGCTCGAAAATATGCCGGCATTTTCTCGGACCAATCTTTCCTTCCTTCACCAGCGTGTAAACCAATTCGGAAAAGGTGCTCGGTAGTTGGAAGAGACCGAACTCTACGCAAGAAACGAAAAAATACGCATCTTCGAGTGTTCGTGTTGCTGCTGTAGACGACTGTTGTGTAGAACGCGAGAAAAGACCAATCCAACGTGTCAGTCTATCGTTTTTTGTGTTCTTATTTTCATAACGTTGGTTGACGAGGGGGTCCCACAACCCGATCTGCCCGTTGGGGTCAGGTTCTGTAGCCAAGCTTTTGCAAATACGTAAATACCCCCCGAGACTATTTCCGAACGAATTGCTCTGTCCAGCCGATTCTTTTCAAGCATGCACTCACGCAACCTCCTCATCTGTCTCCCGGCTGTCATTGTTTGCGCGCACGGCAGGATCCCCGTGTGAAGTTCAAGTTCTGAACAGGGTTCTATGCCGTCGGGCGAATGGCGACGGTTATCACTCTCGTCTTTACCCGTTGATGATGTCAACGCACAATCCCCCACCCGCTCCCGCTGCTGTGGCGGTGTTGGTTCGGTTGACGGCTGCGTTTGTGGGGCGAGTCTGTCGTGTTAGACTGGAATACAAAGGGGGTTAATTTGGTTCAGTCCCCTCGACACACACCTTCACGCACGGTATCGGTGGCACTAATGCCACCTCGGAACACGGCGGGCATTTGGTGGTCGGGTTGGGGAGGGGGGGGGGG